GGAAAGAAGATGAAGCAAAATCCCCACATCCTATTTATTTCCTCTCTAAAAACATCCCTTATCCTAAGGTTACTAGTTACTCTACCCACAGGATTTCATTCCTTAACCACACAATTATTGATCTAAAACAACTCTATACTTTGCTGTGTTTAAATGTACATAAATTGTATTACACTGCATTAACCCTTTTGCATACAAATTTTCACTCAACAATTTTTGAGAGTTGCTCATGTTGATACATTCATGGGTATATTCCAATAATTTTAAACTTCTTTATATTATTTCATTAGGAATAAATCATAGTTTATTGATTCATCTTATGTATGGAGAGTTATTTACACTTTTTTTAAAAACACAAATGCAATAAACATCTTGTCTTGGGTTTCTCTGCCACCACATGCAAGAGTCTGTAGGTTACACACTTAGACATGATTCTAGTGGACATGCTTAGCTTCAATCTTACTAGGTATTCCAAAATCACTCTCTAAAGTGGTTACACAATTTACTCTCTCCAGAAAAGTTAGCATACTCCCCATTCCACATACCCTTATCAATACTTGGTAGTATGAAAATTTACTCATTTTGGCCTATATAAAGATTTTGAAGTGTTAGCTTCAAAATAGTTATAGTTAGATAGCATTTTCCTAAGATCCCTTCTGGTCATGTTATTGTAGTCATCATATCAATGCCAAATCTTACCAAATAACAAACTAAAAGACATAAAAAATCCTTCTACAGCTTACTTTTCCTCAAAAAATATGCTACAGAGGTGAGATTGTAGCTCAGCGGTAGAGCACTTGCTTAGCATGTGTGAGGCACTGAGTTTGATCCTCAGCACCACATAAAAATAAAAAAAGAAAATAAAGTATTGTGTCCATCTATAACTAAAAAAAAATATTTTTTAAAATATGCTACATAGTCAATACTGGCCCATGAACCCATACATCAGGCCATAAAAGAAGAATGGGGACATGGCCCCAGTGCTGTATTTATTTTCTTATGTTCATGAACCAATGTTACTTAAAAAGCAAACTACCCAATATTCAAGCCAAAGAAAATACTCTAGGTTTGGCCGGGCAAAATGCCTGAGGAGAAATGAGTCAATTCATACAAAATTCAAAACTGTCTATGGTCAGTGACATTTTCATGAAAATCTGTGGGTGGGTAAAAGTTTTACAAAATTCCTTTTTTCTATTGGATAAAAATCATCCAGGAAAAATAAGCAAAATTTAAGTGGCAGCCCACATTCCCCCTAATTCCCTTATTAACACTCCCTAACCTCCCAGCACAACTGCTTGCAATTGTGCACAAAGGCAAGTACTGGCCTTTCCCACCCTGGCAGCAGAATCCCATGCCCCTGATCACTCTGTCCTGATCAGATAAATTTTCCCAGCAGAGGCACTAACTGAGCATGCCTGGCCTCATTCAAAACATACCTTCCTGGGAACACTATCAGGCCAGGCACTGCACACCCTTAAACTTAATGGCAGAAAGACCTATGTATGGCAAAAACATTCTCAGTGTTCGCTCTGTTGGAACCATTACTATGGATACAGTTAGAGACGGTTGACATAAAATGTGGCTCTGGGTTAGACTTTATGTTGTCCTCCTACACAAATCAACAGTTTGAAAAAGAGACAAATTCTGGGTCTCCATGACTTGTTCTAACTTGGAAATCTAGAACCTTACCATTTCAGGAAAACTTATCAGAATTCCACATAGTTACACTGGGAATGCCCCCACAGTTTTTATAACTCCAAGATTTACCAAGGTTGGGAGTGGGTAAACATAGGAAGGTCAAAATAGAATGATTCAGCACATAGAAATTGCTTTACTTAATAGACAGCAGTGAATGGACTTGAGTCCTTTTAAATATAATACTGCCATATCCCAGTTTCTGATTCAGCTGAGGTCTGTCTGTCTGCCATGGCCTTTACTTCTCAAGGCCTTTTTGTCCATGGCTGGGAATATCTCTGCCATTGAGCCAGGCCTGCAAAGAGAGCTTTGCCCAGAAGCAGTAAGAATGAGATCTACAGAACGGTGGGATTATTTGGGTGGGGAAAGGAAAAGAACCCATCCTCTTCTTACAGTAATTGAACCAAATAAATAATTCATAACCCTCCCCTGGTTTTGCCATCTACAGTCCTGAGTGATCAGAACCCCAGAGTTCCGGGTAAAGCTGGAGAGTCATAATCAGAAATTCTGAAAATGCATTCTCCCATGCAGGAAAGGGAATTTGGCACTGAGGGAGGACACTAGTGGCAGCCTCTTCCTGTAAGTAGACGGTAGCCCTCTGACACACCCTCCATTTACCATAACTTCCACAAGCTCTTTGTGCTTCTTGTAGTCATGGTCACCAAACACAAAGGGGTCATCTGCCCTTTCCTGGGTCAATAAGCAATTGAGTGAAAATGATGAGTAACTCTATCATGGAAAATTAAAAGCAGTTAAGCATACGTAAAATAGACTGGACCTTTTCATTGAAACTGCTCCTAGCCTTTGCAGCATGTGACACAGCCACAAAAAGCCAAAGATCACTTCTCCAAAAGAAGAATGTGGTCATTTTACTTGGCAGGATCTTTAGCTTTGATTCAACTACCTTCTGATTTTAAAGCAATGAAACATCCCAGTGTTAAAAGTTCTTTGTGTCTGGATTCCAAATATGTAAACATTCATTTTTCAAAAGCAGAAGAATACATTATTTCATGTGGGCATCCACTTTAAGCACAATGTCTTCTATCCATGGACTACACCTTGAGAGGAATGCTAAATTTTCATGCAAAACATTCACTGCCAGTTGGCTACAGTCCTACAAATCAAGCAGATGACGAGTAAGTCAAGGGTCTTCAGAAGAAATGAAGTCCATAATATGTATGTTTATGTGAAAATGGATGTCTTCTTGCTATAAATATATATTCCCAAGACTGGAATTGCAGCATTAGTCAGGTCCTAAGAAACCCTGCCTTGGATAAACATATTTGCACTATGATATGTGTAAGTAAATGGTTTGTGGTTCTAGATTTAATATGCTATTAAATTAGCAACCTGCATTTTGCAAAGATTCCATCTAGAAGTAGGGAGTGGGCAGATTAAGAGAAAAATTACCTCCCATACCCATCCTGAACAGTACAATAAAGAGATATGCAGAGGTCTGCAAACATTTACCTTTCAGCTTATTCTTTCACTCAACTATTTCTATTTTTACTATTCAGCATGCACTTCAGCAAAAGTCAACCTTATAAAGTTACACATCTTTAAAAAGTCTGGGAACAGTGGGAAAATGGGGAAATCCTGTTGCATAAAAATTAATTTTGCAATGCAGAAAAAAAGTTTTTTGGATAATTCGAGGCTTTATGTTTATTTCAGTAAAGCCAAATCCAGTAAACTATTTTCAGCCAGGATTAGTCAGAACTGAAAGGTTGGACTGTTTTCCTTCAGAAACTGAATGTCTTTCCTGCCTGCAATAGGATGGTGTGTTCCAAACAGAGTAAATGGAATTGCCTACAATTGTCTGTCTCTTTCTGGCATTTTTAATGCAGAACCCTACTGAAAGAGTGAGGAGGTTTTGCCTCCTGGAATGTAATTATTCCTTTCACTCATAGAACCTGACATTCTCATAATATATCACCTTCAGGTTTTCCTTAAGAAAAATCACAACATGGGGCATAATGTAACCATGAGAAATGCAATTTCATTCCACCAAAAATTCTTAAAAACTCTTTCAAAAATACCTACTGGATGGTGAAAAGGTGCTTCTAATCCTTACATTACAGATGTCACCTGTTTGGTTTGCTTTTACATGAATCAGAGAACCTGGCTAATCTACAATGAGACATAAACATGGTCCAGATTCTCTATATCACGACATGCTATAGAAAGAAGGGACTGGGGTTGGGGAATCACAGTCCAGATAAGTTCCTTTTTAAAATAATTTGTATATTTCACATATTTAGGGACTTCCACCATACTCATTATCCAGGGAGCACACAGAATTCTCAGATTTTAACTCTAAAGAAATATTCCTGCCCATCTAAATTAATATAAGCCATATGTTCTTCTTCTTCCAAGAGTTAAGTAAGCTGTCAGATTGTGCAAAGCCATCCCTGTGATCCCAAGGGTGATGTCCCACTTGTAAACCCTGAGGGCTTCTCTGAGGTGTGAAATTATTGTGAAATAGTTTACGAATCATATTATTCAAATATAGTAAATTTTGCCCAGAAACAGAGTTCCAGGAGTGATGCCAGGAAAGGGGAAGGCAGGGGAAAGTGACACCAGGCCCACTTCTTTCAATGCCAAAGGTACATCAGGCACATTCCCTAATCCACTCCCTCCTTATATCTTTCCACAAACTCTCTCCTTAAAATTAGGTGAGATCCCTCCAGGTTCTGCTTTGTGGTATCCTCTGGTGTTTTTATGCTGGCTATAAATCATTAACTAGTCCCACAACCCTGGAAGGTACAGTGTGCAGGCGTGTGGGTACATGTAGCAATAATTTTACTAGCCAATTTGCTAAGTAGTAAGTTCCTTTCTTAAATATCAGAACACCCCTTTCCCCCACTCCAATTCTCACCCAGTTATTGGAGGGAAAGAAAAATCTGAGTATTTGCTTTGGAAGAGAGCTAAAGCTCGCTGGTGGTGTGATGTGTGTTCCTTTGCTCTTGCATGTCCACGCACATTAAGGAAGCTCCAGTTTGTGCCTGGCCAGCATTTTTTCAAGATTACGGACAGTGGGGCAGACTGGCCTTCCCTGCTGATCATGTACGCTTTCAGAAGAGAATCTAGAAATGGAGAGAAACCAGCAGCCACTAGCCACCAGAAGAACCTTTCCCTTCCTCAAGCTGAAGACAATCCAATCTCATGGACATCCCCAGCACCACACATCCAAACCCACAAATGAAGAAACTGTACTCAGACCCGTGGGCCAAGTTTAGAAAAATACACACATGAAATACAAATGCTAGGCCTTGGAGAAAGGTCACTCCTAGGCTTCAGAAACTCACCGTACACTTGTTGGGCTTCTCCCCCGAGTGGACCCTCATGTGGATCAGCAGTTTATAGCGGGCGTTGAAAGGCTTGTACCTTCTAGGGCAGCCAGCCCAGAAGCAAGTGAAGTCTTCCCCCTTTCGCTGATCAATGTGGACCTTCTCGATGTGCCGCACAAGTTCCTCCTGCTGGTCATACAAGGCGCTGCAATCTATCCAGCGACAACAGTGCTTGCCCCCACCATCATCCATCTCTCCATCATCGTCCAGGGTGGCTTGAGGCAGTGCCAGTGGCTGGCTGTGGGCCACTAGCTCTGGGTGATGAAGGTGAGGGTGGGCATGGTAGGGTGGTGGGGGACCTTGAGGCGGTGGCAAGGGAGGGAGCGGGGGCGCAGGCGGCAGATCCAGGGTACCACCTGGGAAGTCCTCCAGTCGCTCAGTCTTGAGCATGCCAGAGGGTTGGCCTTCAGGGCCCGGCAGGCCATGCTGCACCACCATATTGTTGACCTGCCCGGGCTGAAGGCCACCATGCTCCAGCTGTTGCATGCGCTCATACTCCAGTACCCCATCATCACCATAGGCCGGTAGCGCCAGGCCACCACTGGTCACCAGCACGCCCTTCTGGCTGCCAGGTACTGCACATGGCTGGGGGATACAGCTGCCGCGTACCCCCAGGAAATGCCCGTAGACCTCTGGCTGCGGGGACATGTTGGCTGGGGATGCCCTCGGCCCATTGATGTAGGCAACCAAGGACGTGGGTGAGGTGCGGATGATGGTATTGAAGTCTATCCCGATGCCATCTGACAAGGGCGACAAGGACAGTGCTCTCTTCTTCGAGCGGGCCGAGTGGGATCTGGTGGATGAATGCCGGGGACTAGGGTAAGGAGAGTGGGTATTTTCCATGCCAAAAAGATAGGATGGCAATGAGTTAGAGACACTATTGCTGGACATGGATGTCCCCGGAGGAAGGCCAAGGAAGTCCCCTAGATCCACACCATTCTGAGAGCTATGGTTGGAGGAAAGCGAAGGCAGAGCCCTGTAGCCCTGAGACCACTCTTGTTTCACACTCAAGGCCGATTGACTTTCCGTGAGACTCAAAGTCGTGGATGCCAGAGACTCCCGTGAAATAAGGGACCTGGAACAGCAGCCAGAAGAGAAGGAAAAAAAAATAACATTTTAACAGGATATGGATTGCTTAAGAGCTAAAATAACATTGCACTTACAATCCCTTATGTATTTCCCCTAATTACATTCTCCACTAAACACACATTCTTGGGTTCAGATAAAATCCAAGGCTTTTCGTTCCAGGTAAATAATATTTTCCCAAGAAGCACAATAAAAGCTAATGCTTACTGAAATAATAAAACAAAAGATATATTGTTATAATCTCAGAACTTTAATTATAATAAATAGTGCTTGCTTTATTTTCAAATATCCTTTTTAATGTAGGGGGAAAATTAAAGACCTGGGATAAATTATTAATGTCTGTCACAGCAAACCAAATAATCAAGTATTTGTTAAGTACCTACTGTGTGCAGTATGGTATGATAGACTTTGCAGCGCATACAAATCTAAACAGAGTACCAGCCTTTAAGTAACATCTATTTGGGGAGGTAACATTAAACTTAACTTCATTTAAAAAAAAAGAGTAAATCCTTAAAGTCAAAGCGTAGTCCAGGGGATTCAGAAGCTTTACAATTTAGTTTCACTGATATTAACAAATTAGTAAAATAATAATAATAATAATAATAATAAAAGAGCAATTTATACTGTCAGTACTCAGTTACAATATCAAATCATCCCAGTAGGTGAAAAATATATATAAAATACACGGACTGGTTTCAATTCTTAATTTTTTAAATAAAACATAGCTATAATATATAAGGAGTACAAACTAAAATCAAGTCATTTTTAGAATTACATTACATGCTGGGGTTATGTAAGGTTTAACCATACTTGCTTGCTTGGGTTTTTGATGAGTTCTTGTTCTTAAATCAGAGCAGCTTTGGGCTGAGAGTAGATCATTCACTTTCAATTGCTTGTTTCACAAGATTTCCCTATCTGTTCTTACCCTTTACTAAATAAGCTTCATGTCTCACAATATATTGTATACATAACAAAATGGTCCATAATGTAGCTCAGGCCCCCTTAAAATTCTTTTGCTTTATTACGGCATGTTTTCCTTAAAAAGAACTGAAGAAAATAAAAGCTATGTACCTTAGACAGAAAATCTGTCATAAAGAGGCTACTCATGTAGACATTTAGAACAGGCACTGTATTCCCTGACTTAGACTCAGTGTACAGCAGAAAAGCTGGCTTATTTATGTGTATCTGCACTTGCTTTCTACAGGGATCTATTTTTGGGATAATAAAATTAACCACAACAAAATGTTATAGAAAATGTTTGCCTTCCCCAAAATGAATACTTTTACTATCTTTAGCTGTTAAATATCAACCTGTTTGAAAGGAACAAGTGAAAAAGAGAAACACTTTTATCCCACCTGTTCCTCTTACTCCATTTCACAAAATGGACACCAGGAATGTGGTTTCCTATGAGTGTGAGATATTAGCAAGAAAACAGCTCTGAAATGCACACTATGGGGTGATAACACTGTGATCAACATGATGTTACCATCAGGCGAAGTAATGTTTACCAATGACAAACACAGCCGGAATGTATGTCCAGCTGCCCTTGACATAGATTTTTTTCTTAGTCCACATCCTTACATTTGGGTTGAAGTCCTTTTCAAGCCCCAAAGTGTTTCCTGAACCATCTGTTTTTTAATTCCCCGTGGACACTTTTCAATTATTTTCTTAGCACACTTGCAGCTTGTGGCTCTTCCTGCAGAGCTCAGCAGAAGGCTCCTGGTGACTGGATGTCAAGGGCCCTTTGGTCCCTTCCCCAGTGAGATTCAGGAATTGCTTTCAGACCCAAGCTAAATCAGTAGATATGTCATATTTGAAGCAGAGACAACTGACTTTGCTTTACACCCTGAGAAAGTTTATAGAACATCAAGAATAAGAGCTTCACTACAGCCATGTGGCTGAGTGGATATCCATTCTCAGGTGGCACATTTGCCTGTCAGTGTCATTTTAGAACATTTCAGATTTTTAAGCAGTGACCAACAGAGAATTTTATCTACCTCTATAAACTTTGCTTATAAAATTATATTATTTGGTTTGAGGGCAGCCTATAGTGAGACTTGTTCATTGTTCCATTGTTGAAAGACGATTCTCATTTTTCTCAAATTACACCTGACTATGGCTTAAATTAAATCTGAATATAACCCTGTGTAGATGCTTTGCTTAATACCTTGGACATCTCAGTTTCCTAAGATAGTTATCATATATTTTTCAAAAAGCAAATTCTATATTCTATCATTAAAGCAATTAGTATGAATAAGGGCTGTGTCTGCCTCTCTCCCTCCCTCTCTCTCTCTCTCTTTCTCTCTCTCTCAGCAGCCAGTCTCCCTCCTATCTCCTATGCAGTAATCCAGACCTTTTACAGTTCTAATGCATGGAATCTCTCCCCAATACACCAGTTCTCAGTAAGAGTCCTCTTTCCATATATACAGATATGTGCACCTGGAAGCATATGTGGGTATTTTCCTCAACAGAAGTCAAATTGTCTCAACAGAAGAGGCATTTTTTAATCTCCCTAGTACCTACCAGAGTGTTAGATAAATATAAAGTATTCAAAAACTTGTTAATTAGCAAAGTAAATAAATAAACATCATGATGGTAACTATCCAATATTTTTAACTTAGAAAGCATTTTTCTTATGTTATCTTCTTATTTGACACAATATGTGAGGCAAGTAAACTGGATTTTTAATCAATTCTATTATACAAAGAATAAAACTAAGGTTCTGTAAAAAATTTTCCTAGTGACACACACACCAAAAAAAAAAAAAAAATGGGGGGAGGGGATAAAGCCCTCAGTGAATAATAAATGAAGCAGCATGTGACAGACAGAGCCTTAGCTGGATCATATACATTCTCTACTGCTTTTCTCACACTGCAGCTCACATGTGGTCCATAATGCTCTGCTTGACTACAAGACCTGGTAAACCCGGCTTCAAGTCACACAAGCTACAAATGGAACACAAATTTTCTGTTCTTTCTGCAACAATATGTTGAATGAGTGTGAGGGCTGCCAAGAATTCTTGCCTGTAACCCCTGCTGCTACAACACCAGACCTGTGGGAAGGAAAGTGACAGAGTTCAGAGCGCTGTGTCACCATACTGAGAACAATCTCCATATCCATATGTTCATCTGTTCCTAAGGATACTATTTCTGGTAACTGGTTTATTTGGAGCTATATGTGAAAAGAAGGTAGATATATCTCAAACAAAATAAGAGCAATACGAACACCCGGGAACCATCAGCAAAAAGGATTACGATGACTGATAAAGTAAGAGCTAAGTAACTCTCAGTCGTAAGAGGTAGGATGACCCAAATTGAATTATTTGGTTCAATGCCAAACTTAAAAGAAGTTCTAATTTAAAAATAATGCAGAAAACTCTCAAACTGACACTCATAAGAATACATATATTTCATATATACACAGATATGGAAAGGAAGACCAGACCTGGTCTATCTGGAACTTCTTATTTATGTGTCCTGGTAAATCGCTCAGAAGAATTAGCAGGGCATCTGATTACGGAAGGGTTTTATAAAACGTTAGGACTCATAGAGAGTCCAGAGTCCATTCCTAACCTGTGCTCTTCCTCTGAGCTTTGTGGGCATATTCCAAACAAAAAGACAATCACCCCTAAGAATTTCTAATAGAAGAGAAAGAGAAATGTGGTGCCTTTCTGGATGTAGAATGATATTATCAGGCAATGGGTGAGTTTTGTGACTGACAAGCAAGTGACACTGGAGAAAGCATTTAGACTTTCTGTGTCTTGGGGTCCATGATGTCTTCAACAGGGATAATACTAAAAGGTAGTACAAATATTCAATCATAAAGTGCAGAATCACAATGCATGTGCAAACACCAGAAAAGCTAAATATATTCCAAACTCGTGCAAATTTCTTCCATTGCCCAACTTTTACTAGATGGGGATATGACTCCACTGGATGAGGCTACTATACCAGAATGTTGGCCTTGTCATTTTAGGAGAAATATGCATAACAGGCTCTGTAGTATAAACTTTTGGCAATGCCTAAATTGAGAATAGTTTCTTGATCTTCTTGATCTTCAAAACACTAAGGGGTAATTTTGCATTTATCATTAAGTCAGAAATGGTTGGGAAATTAATGAAAGCAAATATTCAGTACTAGGGCAAAATTCTCATCAATTAATTAGACAGAACCCAACAAAGCTAAGAAAAAAGTGACTTTTTCAAGATGAGCACCCAAGAGAAAACTGTATACAAATGAATTTAAAAAAACACAGCCAATGCATCCATGAAAACTGGTCAATGATATCAATAATTAAGAAATGCAAATTAAGACAAAATATCATTTTGTACCTCAGATGGAAAAACTTATACTAAGAAAAACTTATAAAAATAATAACTAATATTTGATAAGGTCAGAGAAAACAGGCACTCTCTTAGCCTGTTAGTGAATTTATAAATGGGTAGGTCTTTTCTACAGTGCAATTTGAGAATACATATTAAGAGCTAAAAATTGTACATTTCCTTTAACCCAGCAAATTGTACTTTAAGAATTTATTCTAATAATCAGAGAGGTGCAATAAAAGAGTTACAGGGTTAATGCAATAAAGCATTATTTATAATACTAAAATAAGGGGAAAGAACTAAATCCTTAGTAATAAAAGACTGATAAGAATTACTTTTTATTTATATACTTTCTTTATAAAATGGAATTTGGAGCAGAAAGAAAGCATTATGTGAGGCTGAAGAAACCTTTATTACAAAAGAGTTTATAATATATGAACTGAAAAAAGTAATTATAAAACTATGTCAGTTATTAGGTCAATTTAGTGGAAAGAAAAGCCAGTACTTATGATGCATGCATTTGCATACACCTGGAAGGATGTATATCCAAATTCTACCCACGATTGTCCTTGAGTGATATAATTTCTACTTTAGGAATTACGGGAATTATATGGGTAATTAGGCGAGCATCTCTCCAGTCCCTATTTGCCTCCAGCAGACTCCTGGTGGATAAGGCTCTAAGATGATGACCTCACCATCTTCTCTGTGACACTGGCATGCCTTCCAGTTTGAACTGCTGCCTCTTACTCTTTCTCCCCTCTGATGGAACACACAAACCAATTTAAAGATCACAAATATGCGACCTTTCCAAATTGCTAAAAGTAGGTTCCATCCTTCACTAAGCCACTCCTCAACTCGCGTTTCTTTGTTCATCCTGCAAAAAAAATTTTTTTTCTCATAGAAGAGCTCACGGAATACATAGTCAAAAACACTTGTCAGTGTTTCTTTAAGGTGTTGCCTTTTAAGGATATAAAATTATGCTAAGGAATCAAATGTGCCAGAACACACTGAGATAATGACCCTCTCTGGCCGACCCATGAAAAGGACTGCATAAGGTATGTGGCTTGAGCAGCCTGTGCTCTGCCTACCATCAGCTCCTCCATTAATTATGACTCTGCCTTCAAGGCATGGGCTGGACTTGCAACCGACAGGAAGCTGAAGGCTTCCCAGTGACACCCACCCATGAGCACAGTTAATTTTACATGCAGCACTCAGCAAGTCTGAGGAGTCCCTCAAGGCATAATCATCAATGGGAAAATGACAGCAGCTTCCCATCACAAAAAGTCTCAGCTGAAAAACAACTTTCCACCCCATGAAAAAATTGGCATAAATAAATGATCCAGGAACTGTTTTCAGAGTCTCAAATGGAAGCTAGGAGGTTTGTGCAGGAAGACAAGAGCAGAAAAGATGGGTAGTAGGAAGGAAAGGAAGAAGAAATAGAGTCTCAGAACCACAGGTATCTTAGTGGGTTACAGCCCCACAAGAAGAAGAGGCAGAGGCCCAGAGAGTGAGCATCCTTTGCAGGATCAGTTACAGCAGAACCAAGACTCATAGGCAAAAACTTTGGATTGTGCTTTTCAAAGAAGATAACTTCTATGACAAAATATTAACTTAAAAAAGAAATGACCTTAAACTATACAGTATTTTGGTTTTATGATCTCCCTAATATAAACCTTGACAGAGATGAAAATTTGTCTGAGGGGTGATTTCTCTTTTCTAATTCATTCTCCACTATGAAGATAGATACGTGGTACTTATTGTACCTACTTATTCTGCCACCTAATCAGACATCATGTTGAAATGTTATGTAACTCATACATGAAAATATGTCTTCCCGACATATCATAAAGCCTTAAAATGTGTGATTTCTGTCTTCATTCTCTCTGCTATCACCCTAAACTCTGACTATTACATTACACAGACAGTAGATGCTTGATATTGATACATATTTGGGTAGACTGGTTGATGGGTGGGTAGACAGATGGATGGATTGAGAAAACAGCTTGATAAGCAGTGTTGAGACTGAAATATATACACCAAAACCTGTCAGGTAAAAAAGATGTGCATGGAACACCTATTAGACCATGACATGACTTGCTTCAACAGGAAATGACAAATGTACATATTGGCCTTCAGTCACTGAGGCTCAAAATCTCAAAATGGGCATTCATTTTAATTATACCACAAGATAGTAGATATTAAACCATTCCTCCCAGTTAAGAGGATACAATGGCACATACTTAGTTTTTAGGAGCATTCCCCTACAAAACTCACATCAGAAGAGTTGCTTGGGAGCATGTGTGTTTGTGTGCATGTGTGTGTGTGGGTGTGCGCGCCCATGCATTCAGGGATAGAAGGGAAAACACATGTGGGGTGTGATTATACCATAAAGAAGGGGGAAAAAAAAGTAACTTGAGACCTGGTATCTGAAGGAGGTATATTCAGGTTGGCTGCATTCACTGCCCTCTGTAAGCTAGGACTGATCTGCTTGCATGCTGTGGAGACCTGGCTTGCTGGAGGTGAAATGGGTCCCAGTCGCTGAACCATCATGGGACTGCTGGTGACCACTAGATTGTTGCAGCTGCCTTTTCCAATGGACTTGCACTGAGGCCCAAAGCCAAGAGCCCCTAAAAACAAATGAATCAGGTTAGCTTTTATGTCCCTTAAATCAGAGACCAGTAAATACACACATGTGCACACTTATATCAGGACCCATCTCAAAAGACAGTCCTCGGATCTTCCTTTTTTAGTACGGGCAATATTACCAAAAATCTTTTTCTAATTCCAACTGGAAAGTCATAAAGCTACAACAGACACTCTTCCATAATCACCACTTTTATAAAATGTGGCTAAATTTCACTTCTATATAGAAGTGAGAATCTTGTTTTGAGAATGATATTGAGAGGTATATCTTATATCTTTACCTAAAGGGTTAAGGTGGTAGGGAGACAGAATTACCTTCATCAAACCAAAGTGTTTTCTGGTGGGTTTTTTTTTTTTTTTTTTTTTTTGGTCTCCTCCCCCTCCACTTGAATCACCCAGCAAGGAAAGTTGACACTACTAAAAAAAATTAAAAAAATAAATAAAAACCCGTTTAACTGGTTTACTTCATTCCAAATCTGGACTTCCAAAAAGCCTGTCTAAAAGGATATAGTATGACTGTGTACCTCCAATCTTGATTTTTTCTCTTTATCCCAATATGTTGTCATTGAACACATACCCAATTTTTTAAACAATCAGGATGAGAGTCTTAACACACTCATTTGAAAAGCAACATGATAACTAAATTTGACATAGGTTTTTCATTTGCATTAGTTTACAACCTTCCAATGTAGAAAAGTTTGGTACATACCCAAATGAGAAAGAAAAAAGAAGAAACCCACAAGAATCTGTGTCATTATGGGAAAGTGAAAAGCAAGGGAAAAAAAAAGGCAAACACTGCCATGATTCATTTATAAAAACTAATAATAATATTTGAATCATTCTAGACATTCTTTTTACATGGATGTACTTGTTCAAACTTTTTTTTTTTGCCAACTACCTGGCCAAGTGTCAGTAACTAAACACTATGTTCTCACTTACAACAAATGAAAATAAATATGACCTCAGTTCTTAACAAATCAGGATCTAAAATTTTCTCACTTAAGTTCACTTTTTTTTTTCATTGATATAATTGGGATCGTAATAGGTGAAAAGTGTCACTGTATCTTTCCTTAGCCCTGGGGACATGCTTTCCTATTTTGTTTTCCCCAAAATTAAATCAATAGCCAAAAAGTATTTTTACTTATCATCTTTTGAAACATTTTCTTCCAGAAGTCCCTGAAGCCAAAGGACAAACAAGACAATTGGAACAATAGCTATGGCCCCATCGATGTAGCCACATCTCAAAAACGCTGGTAGAGTGACAGCATCCTTAGCTGGCAGCAGCCTTGCTCCAGTCCAGCCTTTAAGGAAACTAAAATTCAGATGAAATCCAAGCAGAAACTGATACTGCGAGGAGTGTATCTTTGTGACACCTGTGTGCTTAAGTTTGGGCTCCAGGATGCTTGGCTTCTTCCTGTACACTTTCCAAGATCATTAATTGCAACAGAAATTTCTTGGATTTCTGTTTTTCAAATACACCCACCAGAACATCTCATCTACCCTTCCCACTGCAGCTTAAGTTCGATCCATCTTCTTGGCCCTTGGACAATCATAGATACTCTGTTTTCATAACTCATAAAACATCGTACTATCAGGGCTTCATATTGACACCTAGATTGGTGTGAACAGTTTTATGGAGTGCATCAGAACTTGAACATTTTTAAAAATTCTAAATGCCACTTCCTTCTGACCTTGGAAAAGGTAATGTTGTGGTTCATAGCTTAGCCCAGTATGTAAAACACCTGAATTGCCTCCCCAGGTTCCATTGTTATCAGCACAACATCAGATGTTAAGTATTCTGTCAAATACCATATAGTCCTATAAAGAATTCAATCATTTAATGTCTTTTTCCTTTTTAATAAACAAATATTAATATCCATCCACCCCTAAAACAAGATACACAGAAGCTGGAACAGCACACTTAAAAAATAACACTTGATGGCAAAGCAGATTAATATTTCATCAAATCTAAAATGCCAGTACATTGTAAGGCACAGCATTATTTTGGTTACCAGTGAGAAACATGAACAGCCAATTAAATTTGGAGCCTGGTGTTCAAATTTCAGAGATGTTGTGACATTAAAATACACATACCTTGAATCAATAAATACCAACATGATCAGTGAAAATTTTATTTTAACCCATGTCTTGTTCAAGTTCTTCTCTCTACCTGGAATGCCCTTACTCTAACTAACCTACCTAGTGAGAACCCTCTGCATCTTAAGATCTCAATTCAAAGGTTCCCTCCTCTATGAACTCCCTTCTCCACCTCCAAATGAGCAGATCTGCCCAACTCTTCCCTTTGTTCCCTTTTGGTCTCCAGTAATATACCTGCCTCAGTTCCTGAAACATTTCAGGAAATGAACTTCTGCCTGCCTTTCATCCTCTCAGTTTTTATATTTTACAGCTTTTGAAAGGCAGAGCCCTATGTTTGGGGCATCTCTGCTCCCTTAGCACCTAGCCTGGGGTCTATTAGTACACATTGAAGAAGGCTTAGAGGAGATGAAAGAATGAAAATAGAAGATAGTTAGAGTGAGCATTAAACACTGACAAATTATTTCCACTGAAGCCCACCTGACTGTCTTTTTTGAAATAGTGCCATTTGGAGAAAAAAATAAAAGCAATTTCAAAAAGTCAATCCTTTTGATGCTTCTCCACAGGGCTGCTAACTGGAAGATGGAGTCAGTGGGGATAGGAACTATAAATCCATTTTCCCAGGCCAGAATTTTACACAGGTCATGGCTGCCTGTGTAACCTTCTACCCTGGATGCGTATATCCACATTATTTTCTTGTTCTGTAATAAAGAAATTAACAAATTAGCCCTTCTCTCTCCAATATGTCCATCAATTTTTTACTGTCCCACCCCCCTACTCCAAAATTCACTGGTAAGCTTTAATGTCCTTCAAAAAAAAAAAAAAGAGAGAGAGAGAAATGACAGCTTCTGACAGAATCATAGATGATAGCCTCAAACCATGAGAATGAGTGGTGGACTTCTTGGGAACAGGGAATGTTTGTGTGTAGCTATAAGAATGTTCTGGAAAACAGCATCATTTGCCTCACAAGTGGAGTGAAACAATAATTTGACCAAGAGCCACTGCAGGTCAATGTGACCATCTAATTCTTTTTCTAATGCCAGACATAATGACCACCTCCAGGCTATTCAGAATCAGGCAGTGCTCTGGAGTTCGAACATTGGGGACAGCCTGCCTCGGATCAGCTAGGTGCATAACCTGGGCAGATTACTGAGCATTTGTATGTCTTATTTCTATGCCTTATCATCTACAAAACAGGAAGAAAATTAAGACCACCCACAAGGTTGTTGTGCATCTAGTATTAACATCACATATAAAGGACTCAGTACATTATCCAGCACATAATAGGTGCTCAATGGCTATCCACTGCTATTGTTTTTGTTATTGTTGTTTCATGTTTGTCCTTGCATTTTTTGCTCCATTCTTTCTTGAAGTAAGAAAAAAGAACAGTTCTTTATAATTCCTTGCACAAAACAAGATAGTAAATGGTGCTGTTTAATTCTCTGACCATTTCCAATGTTCTTTCTGCATCAAGCCTGGAGCCAATTTTTTTTTTTTTAAATCAGGTGTCATCACAGATAGAAGAAAAGTTTGCAATTGGCCAAGTTTGAATGTTCCTTGGCTTGTCATTCCCTAAAAACAAACCATACAACTTCTCTGACTACCAGATGTGCCAACTACTTGTGCACTGGTTTTCGTTTTGAAAGATCGCTTATTTTTAGAGACAACATGATATGTTTTAAAAATGTGTTTACTGTTCAAATAAGGATCTGAGAGGATGGCATTCGGAGCACCACATACATTCTAGCCAAAATTGCTGTGTGTTGGTAGTGAGCCCAAACATTTTACATTTTCAAGTTTCTGAACTGAGAGGTCATCTTAGAGGGGCATGTTTTAATCAATGTCTTCATCAGTTAAAAGGGTTCTCCTGAAGTTGAATAGTTGATTATGTTGCAATTATCACTGGCAAGGCTGCATCTTTTCTAACTAGTTATGACTATTCACAGGTTCTCCTAAAAGTGACACAGATACAAGGACTGCAAAAATGAGATACACCTGAGGAAAAAGGGAGAAGGAGTCAAAATTTTTTGGATGTTGTTCATTCAACCGACACTTATCAAATGTCAATCATGAATCAGGCGGTCTGTGGAGACAGTGGTAAGCAAGGTGGACATGATCCCTGATGGAACCCACTCTCTGGTCATGAAGAAACACAACAGACCAACCATTCATTAGGAAAGAAGTGATCCCTACTCCTAGGGTGAGTCAAATGCAATGGCTTTTAGAAATTAGAAATTATCATAGAAAAGCAATTTCTATGTGGTTCAACCTATCAATTTCTATATGTTCAACACACAGAAGTAGGGTGTTTTGCAGAAATATAATAGCAGTATTCAAATCCCACCTTCACTGGCTGTGTGACACTGGGCAAGGTCTTTAAGCTCTCTATGGTCTCAGCATCCTATTCTAAAATGGGGACATAACATATCTAACTCACAGCGTTGTTCTGAGTACAAAACGGATTAGTATATATTAATATATGCCTCAGCATCTCTAAGCATCAGGGTTTTCTTCCCCAATATTTTATTCTAGAAATTTTTAAAACCTTAAGAAAAGTTGCAGGAATAGTAAAATAATCTCTAACTCTTATCTAAAGGTCTGTGTATCCATTCATCTCCTATAAATAAGCTTACTATTTTTATTGTTATTAATATTAATTTTTAACCATTTAAGTTACAGATTTCATGCCCTTCATTCCTACATATATCACCATAATACAGCCATCAATTCAAGACATTCAGTAATGATATAGTATTAGTGTATAATATAATGTCTATATTCAAATGTTACCAATGACTCATTTAAAGCAATTGTTTTCTAATCCAGGA